GAGCCCCCCCTTTCCCGGCCGCCGCAGCCAGCCCGGATCCTCACCTGCTGCGGCACCTTGAAGCGAACGTAGGAGCAAAGCTTCAGCATCTCTGCCATCTCCTCAGGAGTCGAGGGAATTAAAGGGATCCTGTCGATGCGTTTGGAGTCTTGCAGCTCCCGGAGCTGCTTAATAAACTTGCTGTCAGTGGTACTCGGCAGGCCTGGGTCGAATGAGAAGGGGGGCACAAGCTAAAACCCGGACGAGACTTCAAGAGCCACAGCAAGAGAACATAGCTGTATTGACCTCCATCATCCCTGCCTCTGACCTCCCGCTTGCTCAATCATTAAAAAATAAAATGTAAAATAGAGGGGGAGAATAAAATCTGTATACACAGCAACCTTAATATGCCCCCAGAGATACCCCAGGCTCCTCCTGCTCCAGGGCTTGACACCACCGAGCCCCGCGGGCTGACACAACACGAGGTGTATTCCCTGTAGACAGGCATGAATACTTTGGCAAAAACTATATGTTTATTTTCATGTGGACAGTGGATGCCCGTGAACCAGCATGCCACAGAAAAGGGTCAGACAGAAAATTTCAGCAGCCCCATCTGCCTGCACCACTGCGGGGAAAAGTCCACCGGCAGCTTAACCCCAACCCTCTCTGCAGCCCCCACATCCAGAAACGCCCAGAGAGTCAGGCGACACCTCTCCCGGAGAGGAGGGGGAACCTTGCCGCCCCCAGAGCCTGGTAGCTAGGTAACGTCCGCTTTGCTTCATTACTTATTTCTTATCTGGGAGCTGCTTTCCTTGCGTGGGAGGGGGAAGGAGCTGCTATAACAACTGGGATGCAGCAAAGCCCTCCCGGCAGAGCAGCTCCCAAAGCCCTCCCGGCAGAGAAGCTCCCTGCCAAACCCCTGTGCCTCCTGCCGCGTGTCGTGCCCAGGCTTCGCCGAGCCCCCTGGCCAAGGGGACGGTGGGGATGGAGGGGTGCTGCATGGGCACAGGGACACCCTGCTGACCTGCGCCCAGCCCTGAAGTGCTCTTCCCGCTTGGAGCACCCAAACGTGGGAGGATGGAGCTCTCCAGCTCCCGAAGCTCCAGCCCTCTGGCACACTGGGGCTCTCAAGCGGCCAGACTGGGGAGGCTTTTCCCATTGCTGCCTGGGTTCCCCCTCCAGAACCGAGAGGCTATGGATGGGCCACATAAAACAGCTGCCACCCCAAGGGGAAACACATTTTCTTCCAAGAGCAGGACTTGTCCCATTTGCCCTAGTCCCAGCTCTAACCACAGCACAGCACGGCAAACTCCAAAGCCCTGGAGAAGAGCAGTCAGGACAAGGCTGTGATTTCCTCCCATGCCCTGCCAGAGATTTTCAGACTGTACATACAAATTATTTCAAAATGCTTTGCACTAAAAGCCTATTTTGCTCCCAGTGCTGCTCTGGGCTTTTGCATCGGCTCCTGCTTGCCCTCTCCCCGTCTCGCCCCCCCTGCATTGCCCACCTGCAGGACAGATGAGAGTCAGGCTGCAAATGTCTTCTGGGTACTGAGCAGCATAGACGCCGGCAACGTTTCCCCCCATAGAAGTGCCAACCAGATGAAAGGGCCTTCTGTTCAGCTTGATGCACTCCACAAACTGGCAGGGGAGCAGAAGGAGCGTTGTGAGGGGAGAGGAAGCAACGGCGTGGGGTCATTAGAGAAATTCAACTCAAAAGCTTGAGGTCGGTGGCTCTGGCTGCCTGGGAAGGGAGGGAGCAGGGCCGCACGAGGGAGGGCTTATGGGGCTTAGCATCCCTCGTGTCCCCACATCCCTCACATCCCTGCATCCCTCTGCAGAGGGGATGCGATGCTGGGGTGTTACCTGGTGTATTCTCTTAGCTTGTCCACTAATGGAGTAATCATCCAAGGCTGAGCGGGTCGTGCCCTCGTGCCCGGGCATGTCAACGCACACCAAGTGCAGGTTCTTCGGCAGGAACTGCAGAAACAAACCAGGGGTTGTTACGGTGCAGGGGAACCACTGTGAAGCCCAGGGATGGAAACTGGTGACCATAGGTGGGAGCAGGGAGGTCACTCTCCTCCTAGCAGTCCTTGGTTACTTGCGCACCAGAATAAGTCAGCTCATGTACCAAGGATGACATGATGAGAAACCATGGTCAAGTCTTGCTGCCCATGGAGGAGACAGGTACGTACTGCTCTTCCCCTGCAGCTCTGCATGTCATGGGGATGAAAGGGATCCAACAAGCAGCAAGCACAGAGCTAAGGAGGGTATTTCTAGCACATTACAGCAATCATCACATCCCGGGCATGCAAGTTGGGTCCCCACACCACCCTCAAGCCCAGGACCATTGACTCTCACTAAGTAGCAACACGATAGAAATGGAGTCCCACCTTGACTATAGACAGCCACATGTCTTTGTGGGCTGAGAACCCATGTAACATCAGGATGGATGGTCGGTATCCAGGTCTCCCTCTATAGGAATAACAAAACTGATAGTCGTCATAGTTTGCATATCTGACCTGCATACCCAAGGCTCGGCGCCAGTACCTGGAAATAAGAAGAAAACACCACCAGTGAGCGAGGCGAGACCAGGGCCCAGTGGCAATATAAGCCAGGTGACAGGTCCAAACTCAGCCGCAGATTTGCTAAGGCCAGTTAGGTTGGGCTCACACCGGCGCTGTCACGGTCCTAACTGGGACTAACCCTGAGCATCCCGTCCCCGGACCAGACCCTGTGCTTACGTGTGATCCCTTACACGTGTGCTACTGGTGGCTGGCTGTTCATGCCTGCGCTGCAGATGGCTGGTGGAGACACTGTTTGTTAAAAACTTCAAGAAAGACCACAAATAACTAATTTGGCAACGGAAATGGGCCAAAATAGCAACTCTAAGACTGAAAACACCCAAACGTTGGTATCAGGAGAGAGGCTCAAGAGAGGAAGGCAGAACACATGGCAAGACAGCGTGCAGGACGGGCAGGCCAAGGGAGGCACTTGGTAAGGTGGGTCTGTCACGGGTTTATCTGGGCCCAGCCTTGCAGCCCTGCAGCCATGGGACAACATCACTCCATGGACAAGCATATCGATCCCAGCCAAAACAACCAGCTCACCAGGAGCACCACAGAAACCCGCTTCCCATATGCCAACTAGACGATCTTTAAAAACGTGTTTACACACACGCAAAGGACTGGAGAGGACCATCCTTACCCAGAGTCAAACACCTCAGAAGATACTGGGCTAACCCCAAGGAAACCTGGGTTATTCCTCTGAAAGCAAGAAGGCAGACAGCTCCTGCCAGCGCACGCTTGCAGCCTGCTCAAAGAGGATGCAGTGAAACTGCCGGCCAGAGGGGACCTGGGCAGAGATTATCGGTGACACTTTGGACACATGATGTGTACGTGCAGTCCAAGACGGAAGAGCAGGCATGCTTTCTCTGCATTTCCCCTACACTCAGACGTAACCCTTGTCAGGACAACTAGCGGGCTACTCCTGATGGCCAAGATACCGGCAAATACTTTTATACGTGATATCAGAATTTATTTGAGACACAAGAGCAAGGTCACCAACACTGCTGGGCTGTCCTAGCTCTCTGCCCACTCAAAGCTTATGCATAGTGCAATCCTCTTTTAGCATAATCCCTTTTTGGAGGGAGTTAGTGGGACTTAAGCAGCATCTCGGCTCTGTGCTGGTCCTACAAGGAGAGGTGAATTTCTCCCTGAATAAGTGTCTTAAGAGTCCTCGCCTCAAAGGCACCGGTGTAAACTACCGATGGGGAAGATGATAACATTTTTAGCAACTGATCCTGATGGATCAATTCAGCAGAAGGCAAAATAATCTGTGCAAAGCTGAACTGATCCCTCGCAAGGTGTTAACACGCTTAGTGGCAGCAGCTAAACTGATTAACCCCTGGCGGGAGAGCAGGCAGAGCAGGCAGAGCAGGCAGGCTCTGCGGCGGGGGTCAGCGGACCAGCCCTGGACGTCACGCCCGGCAGGGACACGCATTAACTGCAGGGGAGGGAGCGAGGCCATCGGCGACGGAGGCCCCGCGTGACCCTTGGCCGCGCCGGCTGAGGACACGCAGACCAGCAGCGAGGAGGAGGAGGGGGGCAGCGAGTGGTGGGAGAAGGGAGAAGCATCCCTGGGGACCGCCCGGGGACCTCCCAGGAGCGGTGTCGCGAAGCTGGAGCCGCATGGGGCTGAAAGGAGGGGGCAGCACGGCATGCTGCCTGCCCCCTCTCCTGCCTCTGCCGGTGCAGAAACACAACGATTTTGCCCCAAAAAAAGCCAGCTCGGAAAAAAGCAAATAGGAAAGGAAGAGCAAAGGGCAAACCCGCTCTTCTCACCCACTGTCCCTAAGAAACAAGGTGCCCACGAAACACAGAGCATCGCAGTCACTCCTACAAAATGCCAATGCTACCAGAAATGCTGGAAGGGAGAGAGATGGGGGCACTTACTTACCCTTCAAAAGAAAACAGCCCTGCTGATCTCTGCTCACACGCTCCCTCCCCCAGCTGAACACAGACCCACCTACCCACGGTGCATTTTCACTCAGCCCCTAATTTGCAACCCCGAAGGACAAGGAGGCAGGCTCTTCTCTACCTCCCTCTCAACCTGGCTCCTCAAAGCTCCGCGGCATCAGCCCCTTTCGCCTCCTTTGCCCCATCCAGCCACCCCCGCCCACATCCCTCTGAAGGCTTCGCCCCGATCACACTCGCTCTGCTCTGGCATGGCAGTGTTTCTCCCCTGATCTTCCTCTGAACCTGAGCCCATCAGGGTCCTCCCTGGCTTCCACCGGCCGCTCATATGTCCAGAGGGAAAAAAACCCCTTTGACTGACAAAGCCAGTACTGTGTGGACCTGCCTCTGGTGCCAACCCTGACGTCCCCAGGGCAGGAGGCTGTCACAACGCTTGGTCTCCTTTGCAGAGTGACATTTGGCCTTGCAGGTCCCCACGTGATGCACAACATGAATAAGTTCTCTCCCGTGCCGATCCAGTCGCTGGGGTTTTCATCCCATCCTCCCTCCTCTCTGTCAGCCCCCAGATGCTGTGATTAAAATGTTGCTAATAAATGCGCCGTTAGAAAAACAGGCTTCATCACGCTGCTGCATCTGGGGTGGGTTAACGTCCTCCTCTCTCACAGGAGGTCACTTTGATTTGGAAACACCCCGTGAGCAAAACTGCAGGAGCCACCATCTGCCAGCGGCACGTGAGGGCAGCCTGCTGCTGCCCGCGCCAGGCGGAGAGACGCTGCCCCGGCTTCTGAAGGGAGGTGATTCCAGCTTTCCTCCGCAACAATCCCAGACAGGAAAGCCGCCAGCGTGCTTATCACTGATTTCCAGGGACAGACGAGGACTGAAGGATGTAGTGCCTGCCTGCTGTTAAGCGGAAAGGACGGGATGCAAGGGGGTAAGGAAAAGCATCACTCCATCTTCTCTGATGCTCCAGCCCAGAAGAGATGGAGAGAACGAGAAAAGCCTCGTCCGTAACTACCAGCGAGAGAAAAGTCCCTGCCTGCCGAGCGGAGGGAGCACGTGAGCCCGGGGAGCCGCGGCAGAACCGAGGACACCCACGCCGACGGCTGCATTGACGAGGCGGGAGGTCACCAGCCTGCCGGGGCTGCCAGGCTGGGGGATGGGCAGCAACGGCGATGCTTTTCCCAGCCGCAGTCCTGTCCTTGGGCGAAACAACCCAGAAAGGTTCGGAGATGTCTAGCAGCCCTGCTGAGGCTGCTGTGACAGGCATAAACCTCAGCAGCAAAAAAGCAATAAGAAAATGCCATTTTCTTCTCCCAGAGATGCTTAAAGCTACACACAGCCGGTATGCGCCTGGAAAACCCCATCTTCCCTGCTCCTGTCGCCATCACGGGCAGGAACACCCACCCCTGCCCGCACCAGCTCTTTGTGCACCTGTGTGTGTGGGGGGGTGCAGGGGCCTGCTGGGGACCCGCAGTAATTCCACCCCTGCACTAAAATGAGAGCAGCCGGGCTAATGAACTCACCAGTAGTAGAAGCGGATGAGCGCTGAGGGCCAGAGGAGGAAGGAGGCCACAAAGGCCAGGATGGGGATGGCCAGGGTGCCGCCGGCGATGACAAACATGTTCAGCACATCCAGGTCCATGCTGCTCTTCACTGCCTAGCCTCACCTGCCCACATTTAGGGAAGGATCAGAGGTTAAACACCAGAAATGATGACAAGTCGACGCTAAATGAGATCTCTGCTGCCAGGGAGAGAGGAAAGTGGCTCTGCAAGAGGCAAAGGATACCGCTCAGGAGCACAGCAAAGTCTCTTTCAGTTTTAAAACTCGATTATTTCTTCTGGTTCCTTAATGGATGTAATTATTGCAATGTTATCCTCTCAGGAGAGCACGTCCCAAACGGGCAATGAGCCTCCTAACAGGCACGGACCATGTCCGGGGCAATGGGGTGCAACATGGCCCTTGGGGCACTTCGCAGACGGGGGAAGCACAGAGCCCCCCCGATGGGTGCAGGCAGCCTTTCCCCCCGATGGGTGCAGGCAGGGCTGCCTTAAGACAGGCTCCACGTTGCTTTTCGGAGGCAGGTGTCCAGCTCCGGCTCCCCTCCCCCTGCCCAATCCCAAATCCCCAGCACACAACCACTGACCTAGAATTGATGGCTTGAGCCCGGCTCTCATTACTGCTCCGCACAGGCACCAACTAATCAAGGGAGCAGAGCCTATTAATGGGCTCGAGAACTGAAGGAAAAAACCTGGCAGGGTGCTCTTTGGCGGCCAGCCCTTATCTGAGACAAATTCATCCCCGTCCCCATGTCCTCGCTCCTGCCCCGCGGGCATTTTGCAGTGGCTGTCGATCACAGGTCTCATCCCGGCTCCCAAGCATCCTTCGGACAAATCTCAGGGGCAGCAGGCAGAGGACACAGGGTGCACGGGCGAGCTCTCGCACAACACCGTGCTCGTCCCTGAACTCGCCCCACCACAGGCAGCCGGGATATATTTTTCTCATTAAGAGATTAAACCCTGTCGCACACACATCTCCTCTAATTCCGGCTGCTAACCAACTTACGTCTCGCCCTTTCCTCAGCGCTAGCTCTTTTGTCACACATTTCTAAAACGAGATGTTTCCAATGCCTGCTCTCCCACCAGCCATCCCCCCTCCATCATCACCACCATATTTCTCCGTGCCGGGACAGGCAGATTTATTTCTGTTTCCTGCAAGACTCGCGGCGGTATGTGGTATAATGTATGTTATTCCGTGAAGCAGGAACCGAATCACCACAGTCACATCCTCTCCCCCTCCGACGCCATCACACCAGATCACATCAAACCCCCACATTACACATGACCAAGAAAAACGGTTTACAGAACCTCTGAGGCAACAGCCAGGTTTGCCCTCTTGCCCCAGGGAAAATAGGAATAACTAAAATTTGAGGAATACTGTAAATATTTCTACCAGGCACTTCCTTAACAAAGCTAAACCTCATTTCCTTATTCAAGCCTCAACAACATGCTGTTACTCGTTTAATTAACATTTTGTAGAAAGATCTTTGATCTCTGCGTGGCTTGTTCATAGATAAACACTTTGTGCAACAGATAAACCTTGAACATGAGAGCAGGGCTGCACGGGAGCCCACCTGAGAGCACTTGCTGCCCTTTGCCATGTCACTAAAACAGGGAAGAAATTAAGCACAGAAAATCGCCATCATCCCCATCGGCGACCCGTATCAAGAGAAGGCTGCAGCTAGCAGAAAAAGCGTGGGGCGGTGGGAGCCCCTGCGCTCCCCAGCACGGGGTCACCGCCGCCGCCTCTGCTGCTCTTGGAAAGCAAAACAAGAAGGAGAAAGCCTTTAAAAAGCCCAGCTTACTTTGCAGAGATCCCCTCCTCCTCTCGGCACAGGTCCTGCTCTCTGGGTAGCGGCGGCGTCTGAAAACACTGTTGGAAGAGGAAAAAAAAAGGTTAAAATCGCACTCCTGCTTTTTTTTCCTCCTTTCAGACTTGGTAGGCAGGCGAGACGGTGAGTTTGGGGTATTTAAGCCACCGGCTTCCCTTCAAGACGCCTCATCTTAACCTTCTGACCAACCTTTCCCCTGTTTATGCAAATACAGTCTTTTGTACAATAAAGCCAAATAAGGGCACTTGTTC